TTATTCCTTGTCCTTTTATTTTGGCTTTCTGAAACATTCTCTAACTTTATTGAATTAAGCATCCCTTAATTGAATGATATCAATAAACTTTATAATGCCTTCATAAAACAATCATAACCACTTTTCTTTTTTTTTTTTGAGACAGAGTTTCACTCTTGTTACCCAGGCTGGAGTGCAATGGCGCAATCTCGGCTCACCGCAACCTCCGCCTCCTGGGTTCAGGCAATTCTCCTGCCTCAGCCTCCTGAGTAGGTGGGATTACAGGCACGTGCCACCATGCCCAGCTAATTTTTTGTATTTTGAGTAGAGACGGGGTTTCACCATGTTGACCAGGCTGGTCTCGATCTCTTGACCTCGTGATCCACCCGCCTCGGCCTCCCAAAGTGCTGGGATTACAGGCCTGAGCCACCGCGCCCGGCCTTAGTTTTTTGTTTCTTTAGTAGAAATGGGGTTTCACCATGTTGGCCAGGTTGGTCTTAAACTCCTGATCTCTGGTGATCCGCCCACCTCAGCCTCCTAACCTGCTGGGATTACAGGCAGGAGCCACCATGCCCGGCCTTGAACTTCTGGCCTCGTACACCATTCTTTACATATCTAGAGCAGGGTTTCTTAACCTAGAGTCCATGTATCCCCTGAAATATATGCAACATGTGTGTGTTCTTCTGCGGAGAGGGTCCAAAACTTTTATCAGATGCCCAAAGAGGACTGAGACCTCCTAAAAAGGATAGCTGGACACTTTCACTTTCATCCCATCTGAAGTACCAATGATCATGCATTTCCAGCTCTTGGTTTACTCCCTAGAGGACACTGTCATTAAAAAGGAGGGCCCTCAACACCTCACAGTCCTAAAGCCTGGAAGGAGCTCTCAGGTCATACAAGACAGAATTCCGACTAAAAATAAAAACTTTATACGTAGTCATTACGGTGGTAAAATAATAATTTTTTTTTTTTTTTTTTTTTGAGAGGGTCTCGCTCTGTCACCCAGGCTGGAGTGCAATGGCACGATCTTGGCTTTCAGCTACCACAACCTCTGCCTCCCGGGTTCAAGTGATACTCCTGCCTCAGCCTTCTGAGTAGCTGGGATCACAGGCGTGTGCCACCACACCAGGCTATTTTTGCATTTTTAGTAGAGATTGGGTTTCTCAATGTTGGTCAGGCTGGTCTCAAACTGCCTGACCTCAGGTGATCCACCCACCTTGGCCTCCCAAAGTGCTGGGGTTATAGATATGAGCCACCGTGCCCAGCCAATTATTATTTTTTTTAAATAAAAACTTTAGAACTCCTTTCAGATGGACTCAAGCCACTAGCCCTTTCACACGAGTTAGGGTGTCAGAAGCTATGGTACTTTGTAATGTGGAGGTTCAATTTAGAGTCACAAGATTTTACCACTAAGCACTGTGAGACTAGAAAGGTACTTTTACTCTTGGGGCTATAGTTTCGTTGATGCAAATAAAAGCACTTATTATGGTTAATGATATTCAGTAGATGTCCAGCAAATATCACTTGCAGGTATGAACTTCAATCTTTATATTAAATTAAAACATGAAAGCTTGTAATTAGATGTTTTCCCCTATACTTTTAAATCTTCAATTGAAGAGCTGTAGTTGAAAATATCATTTTTTTTTCTGTTACTTTTATACTCTTTTACTTAGTTTATTCAGATTCTGGGGTTATTTAAAGAGACAGTGATGATTGTTGAGAAAATTACAGAGCTACTGCATACAAAAAACAGTGTAACACCTGGCTTTACAAATAGTAGGTATGCAATAAATGTTAGTTATTTCCCTTCTCAACCAGTGTCCTCAAAGCATTCATTGAAACTCAAATCCTCTTGTTGGCTCTCATTGAGCTGGATCATTAGGGTCTCAGTAGGTTTTTCCCCCTTCAAAAAGATCTCATCTCTCTGATCTCAATCTGTTAGTCTCTAGGCTCTTGGTAAGGGTTGCTGCACTATACACTGCACAGGGTGGCCTTGCCATCAGCTATAATTCTGAGATTACAGATTATGCTATCATTTTCTTTAAATGACCCAGTAAGACTCACACTCTGATTTGACGAATAGGTCCATATTTCCCAAATATATCATACATTTCTTCAGCTGTGATTTTGTATGGCAAATTTCTTATATACAATATCCGATTTACTTCAGGTGGAAGTCGAATCTAAAAGGAGAAATGTGTATTGTTATAATTAGAAGTGCTACCATTTAAAAAAATTCTTAATGATACATAATAATAAAAAGCTGTAAATAAGAGGTATAATTTGATGTTTCTGAAAAATGCCAAGATCTTTGAAAAAGCAACAGAGGCTGGGTGCGGTGGCTTATGCCTATAATCCCAGCACTTTGGGAGGCCAAAATGGGAGGATCACTTGAGCCCAGGAGTTTGAGGCTAGCCTGGACAACATAGTGAGACCCCCATCTCTAAAAAAATTTTAAAACCTAGCCAGGCATGGTGGTAGGTACCTGTAGGCCTCCTCAAGCTTTACTGCCATCACTCCTGCTAACACTTGAGTTGGCCTGTACCCTCTTCCCTGTCCATCCCAGGAAATGATCCTGATTCTTGTTTCTTAGAGAAAATAGACATGACCAATTGATAAATACTTTTCATCTATATCTACCTACTTTCCCTCTATTACTATGCCAACCTTCATCTACTCAAAACCTTCACTTCTCAACTTAACCTATCTTTCTTCCATATCAATCTGCTGGATTGCTTCCATTGGCATAAAAATACACCTATATCAAACATCTTTTAAAAAGTCAACTATCTGGCCGTGCGTGGTGGCTCATGCCTATAATCCTAGCATTTTGGGAGGCCAAGGCAGGTGGATCACTTGAGGTCAGGAGTTCGAGACCAGCCTGGCCAACATGGTAAAACCCCATCTCTACTAAAAGTACCAAAAGTTAGTCGATCATGGTGGTGGGCACCTGTAATCCCAGCTACTCAGGAGAAGGCTGAGGCAGGAGAATTGCTTGAACCCAGGAGACAGAGGTTGCAGTGAGCCAAGATTGCACCCGTGCACTCCAGCCTGGGCGATACAGTCGGAATCCATCTCAAAAAAAAAAAAAAAAAAAAAAAAAAGTCAGCTATCATCCAATTTCCCTACTTCCTATTCACAGGAGAACTCATGGGTAGAGTGTCTTTGCTGTTTCCAGTTTCTCAACTTCCACCATCTTTTCAACCCACAGCAATCAAGTTTTATCCACTGAAATGATTCCTATCATCAAGGCCACCAGAAGTCTCCATTTACATAGCCATAGCCAGTAGTAAATTGTCTATCTTCCCTTTCCTTTTTTTTTTTTTTTTTTTTTTTTTTTTTTTGAGTCGGGGTCATGCTCTGTCGTCCAGGCTGAAGTGCTGTGCAGAGGCACAATCACGCCTCAAGGCAGCCTTGAACTCCTGGGCTCAAGCAATCCTCCCACCTTAGCCTGCCAAAGTGCAGTGATTACGGGCGTGAGCCACATTGCCTGGCCTGACTTCATCTTATACCTCTAAGCGTTTTACAGTTCACTAAAGTCTTTTTTGAGTTCTTTTTTTTAAGCCTCTGTAGCACTGCACTCTCGAACACTAGAATGTAAGCAGAGGACTTGTTTTATTCACTGCTATATTCCCAATACATAAGACTAGTCTGGCACATAGTAGCTGTTCAGTAGATATAACTGATCAATTATTTTCCATATGGTAAGATAGTAGGTGCTAAAAAAAATACTGTTTCAATTAATATATTAATGAAGGATCAAAAAAGCTCCCAGGCGCTAGTTTTTGGTGAACCATTTAGTTAGTTATTGAGGACTCGTCTGCGCTATCGACTTTTAGCCGAGGAGATAACCCTAACGCCAGGTCCTTAAGTGCAGGTCAAGCAAAGAGGCTACAGGGGTAACACTATCACTGGGGTAACACTATCACTGACACTAGGGAAGAGACTGAGGAACTCTCAAAAGGGGTGAATGCAGAAATGTCGCTCAAGGAGCATGTCTCTGAGGATGGGACCAGGATAGTGTCTTCGTTGACAGGATAGGAATTCTGGGGTTCTCCGCTCTGGGGACGGAGGAGGGGCAGGAATGCTTCGATTCACGCCGCTGAGAAAGTGAAACCGGAAGTTCTCTCACCCTCCACAGAACACCCGATACTCACGTTCGCCCTCTTGGCAGCTTGCATCGCCATCTTGGCGGGCTGATGAGGTTACCGTAGCAAATACTGAAATTCCTCGGGACACCTCCGGAGCTCGCTCGGCTTCGGGCGCTACACCGCGTTAGATGCAGGACTTCAACAACCAGGATCCGCCGGAAGCTCTTAGAGCACCCCCAGAATAGCGCCGTCTCACGCCGAGAGGCGCTGACGTAGCGTCCCCCTTCGAATAGACTCCGGGGTAAAACCGAGCCTGAGCAAGAAGCAAGGCCGGAAGATGAATAGGCGAGCGACCAAGACGCTTCCGGGCTCCGTAGCGTAAAGGGCGGGGCGTAGCCTCCCAGAGGCGAGATGTTCGGGTAGGGGAGGCCCTGGGCAGAGGGACCTGGGCGGAGGGGGCGGGGCCTGAGGAGGACGGTGAGCTGGGGTGGAGCCCAGGTGAGTAGCTGTGGGGGCGGGGGCGGGGAGGCGGGGCCTGAGCTGGGTTTGACAGGTGGGGCGAGACCTAGGTAAGTAGCGGGAGAGGGCGGGGCCTGAGGAGGGTGCTGAGAGCTGGGGCGGGGCCCAGGTGATACGGAAGGGGTCGGGGCCTGAGGAGGTGCTGAGCTAGGGTGGGACCCAGGTGAGTAACCGGGCGGGGACACAGGGCCTGAGGAGGGTGGTGAGAAATGGGGTGGGGCCCAGGTGAGTATCAGGGTGGGGTCGGGGCCTGAGGGCGGTGAGTTGGGGTGGGGCCCAGCTGAGTATCGGGGAGGGGTCGGGGCCTGAGGGCGGTGAGCTGGGGCGGGACCCAGGTGAGTATCGGGGAGGGGCCGGGGCCTGAGGGCGGTGAGCTCGGGCAGGACCTAGGTGAGTAGCGGGAGGGGGCGGGACCTGAGGAGGGTGGCGGAGGTGTTTAGCGCGAGGTGGTGGGGCCCGAGGAGAGCGGCGAGAGGTGGGCTGGGGCCCAGGTGAGTAGCGGGCGGGGGCAGGGCCTGCTGTGGTGCCCCTTGGTTGCGGGGTTCGTGGGCAGGTGTGGAAGACGCGAGGTTGGGCCTGGGCCTCTAGCCGTGCGCAAGGCGGAGTCTCCAGGATTCTGGCAGCTTGTGTCACGGCTGACGCTGTAACTATACCCCGAATCTCCGACCCTGGAGGGGCCTTCAGGTTGAGCCTCAGCTGATCCGGCCTTTGTAATCCCCACTGTGACGCCCGCCGGACTTCCACCTCACCCAACCTTGGCGGCCCGAGTCCTCTTGCTGCCCTACCAGTCCACTCTTTATTTCCTTAGACCAGCTTTACACGACTCTGGGGGAAGCACCCGGTTTCTTGCCTGCCTATTGTAAATCTACTCCAGGTTTGCTCTGGAAAGGGCTGGGGTGGCCGAATCCTGTCCTGCCCCCTTCTCCTTCACTGGGGCAGTTCCAGGACGATCTTGCCAATGTTCTTGTTGGTCTCCATGTACTTATGGGCTTCCTGGATTTCAGTCACTGGGTAGATCCTGTCCAGAACCGGCAGTAGACGTTGGGGGTCCTCCGTGGAGAAGTGGGGCAGAATTTGCTCCGTGAAAGCATTCACTAGCATTTGCTTGTACTGAGACAAGGGAAAGGAGATCATCAGCCTGGAAGAGAGCCTCACCCTGCGCTCCACATCCTCCTCAGCTTTTCTGCTCTTTCTGAAATCACATGTCTGAAAAAGCACACAGGGACACTTAACCCCTCGCTTCCCAGCATGCGTGTGCAATACCCCCCTGAAGGAGTGATGTGCCATCTCAGAATATGTCTGATAGTTATATTGTTCATTTTGAGATGAAAACATTGAAGAAATTGTAGTTTCAGAAAAGGCTAGCTGACCTGCCTCTTCTTGCATGTAGCAAATCATAAAGATTCTTTTGGGACCTCATACTAGGGCAAAAAAATAGCCCTTATCACCAAAGACTGGAAACGGGGCTACAATGGATCTGAATAAATATGCTTAAGGAAGTAACCCTAATCTTCCACGAGTTTTACGCTCCCCTCCCTGCCCCATATATCTCCTAGTGACTTCCCTAGAAATTTACCATCCCTAGCCAGACTTTGTGTTGTTATTTCTTCTCAAATTTATTGTTCTTTGTCTAAAAATTACAAAAGCATTTTACTTTGGCCACTTCTTTAGACTTCACTCTCTTGTGAAGATCCCTATATACATATAAAATGAATAAAATCTGGTCGGGCACAGTGGGTCACACCTGTAATCTCAGCACTTTAGGAGGCCAAGGTGGGTGGATCACTTGAGCCTAGGAGTTTGAGATCAGCCTGGGCAACATGGTGAAACCATGTCTCTGTAAAAAATACAAGCTGGGCATGGTGGTATGCCTTTACTCTTAGCTACCCAGGAGGCTCATTGTGCCACTGCACTCCAGCCTGGGTGACAGAGTAAGACCCTGTCTCAAAAAAAAGAAAAAGAAAAAAAAAGTACATGCTTATCAATTTGGTTTCTAGATCCAGCTGAAGAAACCACATAGGAGCTAAAGAGGGGTTACAGGTGATCTCTGGCTCCCCTGTACCTCCAAATGTGTGACTTCTGTTCTGTACCGGATAAAGACTGAAGCCTGAAGTAAAATGTTAGTTTCACTGAAAGCCTAAGAATTGTTTTTAAATAAAGGCTTCACCCAGGAGGCAGCCACAGATAGGACTCATAGGCTCAATGCAAAAGGGATGCTTAAGCTCTCCTGTCCCTTAGGAGGTATGAAACCCTATGGTGGAAACATTCGCAAAGTTGGTACCCACTAGACTGACAGAAGATTTCAGGAGCATATAATCTTTTTATTTATTTTTTTTAAATGGGGTTTTGCTATGTTGCCCAGGCTAGGGTGCAGCAGCTATGCACAGGTGCAATCATAGCTCACTGCAGCCTCGAAACTCCTGGGCTCAAGCAATCCTCCCCTTCAGCCTTCCAAGTCCCCAAGCTGGGACTGCAAGCTAGTGCCACTGTGCCGGGCATGGAACCTATAATCTGTTGAAGGCCAAGGCTTACTTAGTTTTTACTCACCTAAGAGTCTTTCTTAGCACATTGAGATGAATTCGGCCTTTGAAAACAAATTCTTAGAACTACTAGAAGTACTTCCCAATATGGTCTGTGCTTTGTTCATTCTATTAGAATGTTCAGATAATATGTGAAGTATCAGCTACACTCTTCATGATACTGAAGCCTCTATCAACCAATCTGAATCAGTTCTCTGAAACCAGGTTCCCAATTTATCTTCATAAGGGCAGGTTTCTTCACAGAAACTAACCTCCCTAACCTAAGATAGAGCTTCCTTTCTTGGGATAATGTAAATGAACCATAATTTTTCTGGGTTAAATCACGTTTTCTTTTCATTCATCACTCACCTTATTGTCCCTAGATCTCAGCAAACTGGTGATCAGACTTCCTCGCTTAAAAAGTAGCTTTGATAACAGGGGCCCATTGATGTCAGCTCCTCCTATCAGACCATAGAGAACCCAGCGACCATCAAGAGCCAGGCAGTTGACATTCTTCTCCCAGTAGGATCCGCCTATGCAGTCTAGAATAAGATTAACTCCAGCACCTTCCATAGGAAACAGATTTGTGATGTTTGATATAGAAAGCTTGGTGCAAAATAAGATACCATGATATATTTGTAGATTATGGATGTAAATAAATACAGATACAAATGGTAAATCTATAGGTTGGAATTAAAAACACTGCTTGAAAAACCATTGTAAATGGAGTTTAGATAGCAGAACTGTCATAGCCTGTGTTCACCCTTTATGATGACTAGCTACAGCAAGAAGGAAATGAGGCAACACCATGACCTAGAATCCCCTCTCATGCCAAAATAAGTACAGTCCCACTGACACCCAGACATGACTGAGAACAGAATACAGGAGGTCCAACTTAGGCTAGTTGTTCACATTGAAGTTAGAAAGTGTCTGCACTGGGTTACTGGAATTATAGCTTGCTGGCTTTGCTTTCATCTCTCCTTTTCTACCCATATGAAAAATGGAGGTTGGGCTCAGTGGCTGACATCTGTGATCCCAGTACTTTGGGAAGCAGAGGGGGGCAGATCACCTGAGGTCAGGAGTTTGAGTCCAGCCTGGCCAACATAGTGAAACCCTGTCTCTACTAAAAATACAAAAATTAGCTGGGCATGGTATATGCCTGTGATCCCAGCTACTTGGGAGGCTGAGGCTGGAGAATTGCATGAACGTGGGTGGCGGAGGTTGCAGTGAGCTGAGATCATCCCATTGCACTCCAGCCTCAGTGACAAAGTGAGACTCTGTCACAAAAAAAAAAAAGGAAAGAAAAAAAGAAAAACGGAAAGGGATAAGCTAAAAATAGACAGATCTGGCTTTGAAATACAGAGATGTGCACATCTACTCACCCATTTAGGGTGCTACCACTCAGCCCTACCATGGCCAACTCTAAACTGGTCTCTTCCCCAAGCCTCCTGTTACCTAAGTGTGGAATGGCCAGTTGGGAAGAAAAGGTGCTGGATAATTCTAGACCAACTCTGCGTGATTATCCAGTTTCTAAAGTGTGGATGAATCATATCTCTTGCAAGAATACATATGGAAACCATCTTAGATCTAGATATGACTACCTGTCTCTAGTGGTCAAATACCATAGTACTAGAATTTGGTCAGGGTAGTTGTTGTGCACTTGGTAGAGGCAACACTGAACCATAGCATTGGCAACTTTGGGACTGGTGGGGATTTTATTTAATCATCTCTTATATTCCTGCTGAACTGTAGAAGCAGTTGTTTACCTTTGGTGAATTTCAGCGTTGCGTCAGAGAAATCCTCTTCTTTGTAATTGAATCCAGCAGCTGCTCCGAGCTTTTCTGCCATTTGAAGCTTCTGCTGGGAGCCAGCTGTGACCAGAGGAATGGCTCCAGCCATCCGGGTGAGTTGGATCGCAGCTGTGCCCACACCACTCAGTCCTGCATGGATTAGCACATGGTGTCCAGCCTGAACGTTTCCTGTGACAGAAAGTATAGAGTTCTCTTTACTTTGCAACTGCTGCACAATCCCCACACAGACATATTCTATCAAGATCACCTGGCTGTTGCACCAAATGCCAAATCAATCTTTTGCTTTTCCTTTTTTATTGGGGGGGTGGGGGAGCTGGTAGGGGTAGGATGCTGTGACTCAAATACAAACTGTCTTGCTTCTTTAGAGAGCTTGTTCTTTGGAGAAAGAAAAAAAGCATGTTGACAGTCCCTTTTTGTCTTATTGCCTCTGGCTAAAGTGGAAAACAGGCTTTTGAAACAGGGCTATAAGCAGCCCACATCCATAATCTATATTTTACTTATGATATAACACCAAAATGCACATCTCTGACTTACACCTGAATAAGTGAGAACAACTGTCATTCCCATGGTCATCACCCGAAGCCAGTCCTTCTAGAGTCTGAAACTGACTACCAGCTAGTCTTCCTGATCCGGGCAACACACAGCCACCAGGCTCCTCTTCCTAAGATGGCACTTTCATTATGTTACTTCCTTCTCACAATGTAAACTCCTTCTCCATTGGCTTTTGCATTGAGTCCAGACAGCTTGATATTCAAGGACACCATGATCTGGCCCCAGCCTCATTTTTTACAAGTGACAATAGTCATCCTTCACTACTGAGTACAGTGGCTGGTCTCACCTTGATACTCTTTCTTTTTCTTTGAGACAGAGTCTCACTCAACCGCCCAGGCTGGAGTGCAGTGGCATGATCACAGCTCATTACATCCTTGACCTTCCTGGGCTCAGGTGATCCTCCCACCTCAACCTCCTGAGTAACTGAGACTACAGGCATGCGTCATCATACCTGGCTAATTTTTGTATTTTTTATAGAAACAGCGTTTTGCCATGTTGCCCAGGCTGGTTTTGAACTCTTGGGCTCAAGTGATCTGCCTTTCAAAGTGCTACAATTATAGGTGTGAGCCATCTAGCCCTACCCATACTCTTTCTTAGGCCACCTTAGCATGCCTTATGTCCTTCACAAGTCTACCCACCCTTCAAAGCCTTCTCTTCCAAAAAGCTTTCTGACTACCTTTCTCCACACCAACTTTTCCCATCTCTAGCTTCTATTGTAGTTAGAGATAGGGCTCTCCTTCCAAGCTCTATGGTTATCTGATCTTATGCACATGTTGCCTTCCCAGTTACTCTCTTCTCAGTTACTTCCCTGTGTTCTTTAAAGGCAAGGACCCAGTCTTCTTAGACTCCCTTATGTGAGTTCTTGACTGGCCTCAGTGGGATTGAGGAGGAATAAATGAGTCGATTGGTCCCTTCTGTTGCACTGTGAACCCCAGAGAGAAGCTCAGCATGATTTTCAGCAGCTGGGACTGCTGCTGGGCCTCCGGTGTTAAGATGTACATAGGCCTCCTATCCAGTGTTATCCAGGCCTTCTATCTGCTAACCATGATTCTCAGCCTCAACATCAAATCCTTCTAACATGGTTTGAGGACCTGACACTACAGGTGATACAGCAGGGCCTGGGAGTGCCCTGGAGGATTGCTGGGATTCAAAGTGGCTGATTTATGAAGGTGTTGAGCCACCCTGTGTGGAGTGAGCATAGAGGCCTCCTCACCCACAAAATGTAACAGCTGGAAGGCAGTGAGCCAGGCCTCTGGGATGGCTGCAGCCTGGAGCAGGGTCAGTCCCTCTGGGATAGGCATGAGGAGCCCCTCAGGGACAGTGACATACTGAGCCTGGCCTCCACCAGGCAGTAGAGCCATGGCTGCATCCCCGATCTTCCAGTGTCCCTGGCAGCCGGGCCCCAGCTCTGCCACATGTCCAGATGCCTCGAGTCCCAAAATATTGCTGGCTCCTGGAGGTGGGTCATATTGGCCTTGTCTCTGCAGAGAAAGAAGTGCACTAAGCAGTGAGCATGATCAGCAATCTGTGTGTCACCACCCTTAGCCCCTCTTCCAATATCCCTGCTTTTTTCATTTTCAGAAAGAAATTTCAGGATGAAATCAGGTTTTTGTAAGTCAGGAGAAGAGAAAGGAGAGGCCACTGGTTTTATGCAAATAAACTGGAGTCACATGATCAGTGGTATAACTGGTAGAGGTCACATGATCAGTGTTATAACTGGCAGCGTCCTTAGCTATTTACCTTGTCTGAACCTCTTGCTTTACAAATGGAGAAACTGAGTCCCAGGCAGGGAAAAATTAGTACTGGGATTAGGAACAAAACTGTGGACTCCTTGATGATGATTCCCATGCATCAAGCACTAGGTTCTCTGTGCTCACTCACCCCAGTCTTCAGAAGCTGTAGAGCAGAGGGACTTAACTAGGAGTGTGTGCCAGAACCACCAGAGGAGTATTTCCAAAGTACGCTTGCCTCAGCCCCCATCACGTTTCTCTTGTACCCCAGCGAATTCTGATGCACATTTCTGAATGACCCCAACCAATGCAGCTGGCCCAGGTCAGTGAATCAGTAGCAGACAGAAGAAAATTCTCAGAGTACTGCCTGCTGTCAGCTGTGGGACTCTCAGAGTGGAAAGAGCTAAGAGGTCTTTGGAGCCACAAAGACCTCAGCTTGAATCCCAGCTCTTCTGATTGCTAGTGTTATGGCCTTGGGTTTTCTGCTTAACCTCGCTTCAGTTTCTTATCTGTAGAATGAAGAGGGTGAACTGGGTAGCCCGGGGAGTAAATGTGCCCACACCCCACAACAATGTTAGTTCCGCCCTCCTTATCAGGAGAACTGAGCTGCTGAGATTAGTAGGGGGTGGATTATGCTTTGCAAATACCCGCACTTGTTTTGTGTGAACCAAGGCCGCTTTCTGGGTTTAGGTCTGGGAAGCCCCAGTGCACCTGTCTGCCGAGTGTGGGGCGAGTGTGGGGCGGTGCGCGCCTTCACATCTGGTCAATGTTCACTGAGTGCTGTTGAGAGGCAGGCTCTGGAGTCCCGCCCGCCCCAGCAGGGCTGAGCCCGAAGTACCTGCATTAAGTCCGCCCGGTTCAAGGCGCTGGCCGCCACTTTCAGGAGGATTTCACCCTCCCCCGGGCTCGGCTTGTCCACCTCCTTCACGTAAAGGTTTTCTGGTCCACCCGGCTTGTCAAAGTGCACGGCTAACATGTTCTCTGAGGACACAGGGCAGGACAGGAAAGGGCAGGGCAGGGGCCGCTGTGTCCTAGCGGAGCAGCCCAGCTTCAGGCCGGCACCATGGCGCCCCCTGCCGCCCTGCGCCTTGCTGCGCTGGTCTCCCGCGGCCCCGGCCCCGGCCCCAGCCCCAGCCCCGCGCTCCTGCCTGGCAGTTCCCCGGCCGCCTCCAGACCAACCCCACCTGGAACACAGATTGGAACGGCGGGAGGTGGGATGGCGGTGCCGGACTGGAAGCGGCAGAGAAGAGCAACGACGAAGAGCGTCAGGGAAATCACACTCCCTCTGAGATGGAAGCCCGCAGCCCGACCCGGTTCCCCGGCGCCCTTGTGAGTTACTTACTCCTGGCCGGGCTCCTTTCGTGGCGGCGCTGAGTGGTTCTGGCTCCTGCGAGTCCCAGTAGCAGAGCCGGAGCCCCAGAGCCCCAGGACTGCCTCTACCACCACCGGAATGGACGGCTGGACTCTGGGCAGCCGGAGGGGTGGGGCTGAGCAGAACTACCCTCCCTCTTTTCCCTTTCCTCCTTCCCCCTTTAAAACGCAAAGTTAGAAGCAAGCAAATCAGATTTTCTTGTCCTTTTGCCTGTAGAAAAAGAGTCTTTCAGCTTGGGAGAAAATGCGATTCTAGCTCTCACTGCAAGGGAAAGGAAACTTCCCTCTCTCTAGGGAACAAGACCCAACCTCTTGGCAGGCGGATTGGTCCATTTTCCAGGCAAGGCCAGGCTTTTGGCACATTTAATGTAACAGACTGGCATCCTGCCCATCTTGAGTATGAGTGGGCAAATGGGGTGCTGCTAAGAGAAGAGAGAGGAGCAGTTGGGGGGATGGGGAAGGAAGGCAAAACGCAGTCCTGGGATCCCTTATCACGCCCCCTCCTCCTGACAGTCCTGGGGGAGAGGTTCAGCTTCAGGAGAAGGATGCTGGCGATTTTACCTGAGTAAAAGCTGTATCCGTAAGCTACATCAAGGTTTCTCAACTTTGGCACTATTGACATTTTGGACTAGATAATTCGTTGTTGTAGGAGATTGTCCTGTGCATTGTAGGATGTTTAGCATCATCCCTGACCTCCTCCCAGTACATATCCATAGCACCCCTTGTAAATTCCTGTTTTAGTAGGAACCTCCCATCCTTGACATCTGATCACCCTCAATATCTGATCAAGTTCCTCATTCTCCACCATCCCCCAAGTGATAGCTGACCACTGTGGCCTGTCTTCAGTAAGAATCCTGTTAAGTAAGTTTAAATAGAATCCCCCTTACCCCTGATGCCTCTTCTTACTCATTTTCCATCCATTGACCCCTACGCTGCTCCTTGGCTATTCATTCCCACTTGTCTATGATGTATTCAGAGTTGATCCCGACCTGTCTCCTCCACTGCAAGACCCCGTTGCAGTGGTCCCTGTACCTGTAGTGATGGTGCTGAATAAAGTCTTCCTTAATGTGCTTTAACAAGTATGATTGGATAATTATTTCTGTAACACAACAGAGCAAAAGGGTATAGAGATGGAAATCTTAAAATGATGGGACTTAAGGAAACATTCAGGAGATCCTGCTATGAGAATAATAGGAATTTTAGAAGGCGGAAGAGGAATGGATGAAGAAGATTCAATAGTTAAACAAATAATTCTAATAATACCAACCACTAAGTATACTAAAGTACCCCAAGAAAACTAGGAATTGAAAGTGCTTAAGATTTTATCTTCGTGAGGGCCGGCACGATGGCTCAAGCCTGTAATCTGAGCACTTTGGGAGACTGAGGTGGACAGGTCACGAAGTCAGGAGATTGAGACCATCCTGGCTAACATAGCAACAGAGCAAGACTTCATCTCGAAAAAAGATTTTTAGCTTACTGAGCCCCTTGGTCAATGTAATCTTATTGTAATCTTATAGTGTGTAATAAGAAATATATATTTTTGGTCTTTGTCCTGAGTTCCTGCAATAGCACTCTTAAAACCTTTGTTATTTTCTGAATAAGCATCTCTTTCTTTTTAATTTTCTTTTATTTTAACTAGATATAGGGTCTTGGTATGTTGCCTAGGCTGGTCATGAACTGGACTCAGGCAATTCTCCCACCTCAGCCTAAAGTACTGGAATTATAGGCATGAGCCACTGTGCCTGGCCAATAAGTGTCTTTTATTCTAATAAAGTGTTCTTGTACAGAGCTCCTAAAACCCTTGGAATTTCTTATGTGATAGAAGTGACTTTTTATATTCATAACAAGCCCTTATGAGCACACTGGGGTTTATGTTAATAAAGTGACTTAAGGTGGGGGCCCTAGATAGCTTCAGAATGAGCTGGTCACCAGAAAGACCCTGGGAAAGGGAAGCAGAGGAGATTACGTGCTATAAAAACTCTTTTTTGTTGTTGTTGAGACTGAGTCTCACTCTGTTGCCCAGGATGGAGTGCAGTGGCTTGATCTCAGCTCACTGCAACCTCTGCCTCCTGGGTTCAAGCAATTCTCCTGCCTCAGCCTCCTGAGTAGCTGGGACTACAGGCATGAGCCACCACACCAGGCTAATTTTTGTGTTTTTAGTAGAGATGGGGTTTCATCATCTTGGCCAAGCCTGTCTCGAACTCCTGACCTCAGGTGATCCACCTGCCTTGGCCTCCCAAAGAGCTGGGATTAAAGGTGTGAGCCACCCCACCTGGTCCTAAAAACTCTTGAACAATGAAATTTGGTGAGTTTCCTAGCTGGTGAACACATCCACCGTGGGAAGGTGATGTGGTATACTCCAACTCTGTGGGGACAGAGGCTCCTGCACTTGGGACCCTTCTGGACCTCATTCTACATACCTCTTCACCTGGCTGTTCATCCCCATATAATTTTAAGCAGAGTCTGGCTCTGTTGCTCAGGCTGAAATGCAGTGATGCAATCTTGGGTCACTGCAACCTCTTGTTTCCTGGGTTCAAGTGATTCTCCTGCCTCGGCCTTCCAAGTAGCTGAGATTACAGATGTGTGCCACCAAGCCCAGCCAATTTTTACATTTTTAGTAGAAACAGCATTTTGCCATGCTGGCCAGGCTGGTCTTGAACTCTTGGCCTCAAGTGATGCACCTACTTCGACCTTCCAAGGTGTTGGGATTACAGGCATGAGCCACTGCACCCAGGGTATGATATTCTTTATAATAAACTGGTAAACATAAATGTTTCCCTGGGTTTTGTGAACCATTCTAGCAAATTATCAAACCCAAGGAGGGAGTCATAGAAATCCCCGATTTATACATTCAGTTGGTCAGAAGCATAGGAGGCTTGGATTTGCAGTTGGCATCTTTAATGGGGATAACATTGCTGGACTGAGCCCTTAATCTGTGGGATCTGACACTAACAGCAGGTAGAGAAAGTCAGAATTGAATTGTGGAACACCCAGCCTGTGTCAGAGAATTGGTTGATGTGGGATAAAACCTGCATATCTAGCGTCAGAAACGAAGTGTTCTGTGTGAGTGTGTAGAAACTGTGTGGTTTCCCTGATATAGGAAAATATATTTAGTAGAAATGTATCCAATTATGAAAGTTGGGAAATGGGCTGGGCCTGGTGGCTCACACCTGTAATCCCAGCACTTTGGGAGGCCAAGGCGGGTGAATCAGTTGAAGTCAGTTCAAGACCAGCCTGGCCAACATGGCGAAACCCCATCTCTACTAAAAATGCAAAAATAAGCTGGGTGTCGTGGTGGGTGGCTATAGTCCCAGCTTGTTCTTTATAAAAACCAGTAACATGAATGAAATGTATTGTGAGTTAGAGCTGGGAAACAAGAGATAGCCAAAGTCTTAAAGACTGGGAATGAGGAGGGAGATATAACCACAGACATAGGAGTGATTAAAAGAAGAGTAAATCAAATTACTTGAAACTCTACAGCAACAAATTATAAAATCTAGAAAAAATGGAAGATTTTCTAGCCAAATTACTTCTTTCTACCCAATGGGTGGAGTATTTTCTCCTCATTCTGTTGATGTTAGGTTTGGCGCTCTTACTTTTGTCAATGATGAGTGAGGAAGCCATGGTCAGTTTCCATCAGTCCCTTTGCCCTCCTGCCACCCACAGGTAGCTGCTATTTCACCTTGTCCCCTAGTGAGAAACACTCAGGGTAGCCCTGAATCCAACCTGTTGTCTTGGGACCAGCCCAGCACAGTCACAATCGAGGAAAAAATAGACATTTGTCATTGTAAGCTGTTAAGATTTGGGGGTAGTTTATTTTTGCAGCAAAGGCTGGTTAATAAAGATAAAAATGTCTTTAAAAAATTATCTGGGAGGAAGGGAAATGAGGACTCATTGGTTAATGGGTACAGAGTTTCAGTTTTGCAAGATGAAAAATGTTCTGGAGTTGGATGGTTGTGATGGTTGTACAATAACATGAATGTACTTAATACCACTGAACTTAAAATGGTTAAGATGGGAAGCTTTAGGTTATGTATATTTTCCTACACTTAAGAATAAATAAATAAGAAAATGTAAACAAAATCCATATAGGAGTAAAGAGAATAGTATAATGAGCCCCTATATACTCATAATGCAACTTCAACAATTATCAATACCTGGCCAGTCTACTTAGTGCTTCACAACAGGAGACACATAATGTCTAATTGAATCTCACTTTTGATGTTAAGACATTGGCTAGATGTGGTGGCTTATGCCTGTAATCCCAGAACTTTGGAAGGCTGAGGTGGGCAGATCACTTGAGGTCAAGAATTTGAGACCAGGCCGGGCGCGGTGGCTCAAGCCTGTAATCCCAGCACTTTGGGAGGCCGAGGCGGGTGGATCACGAAGTCGAGAGATCGAGACCATCCTGGTCAACGTGGTGAAACCCCGTCTCTACTAAAAATACAAAAAACTAGCTGGGTGTGGTGGCGCGTGCCTGTAATCCCAGCTACTCAGGAGGCTGAGGCAGGAGAATTGCCTGAACCCAGGAGGCGGAGGTTGCAGTGAGCCGAGATCACGCCATTGCACTCCAGCCTGGGTAACAAGAGTGAAACTCCGTCTCAAAAAAAAAAAAAAAAAAAAAAAAAAGAATTTGAGACCAACCTGGCCAACATGGTAAAACCCCATCTCTACTAGAAATACAAAAATTAGCCAGTCATGGTGGCCCGAACCTGTAATCCCAGGTACTCAGGAGGCTGAGGCAGGAGAATTGCTTGAATGCAGGAGGCAGAGGTTGCAGTGAGCCAAGATGGCACCACTGCACTCCAGCCTGGGCAACACAGCAAGACTCTGTCTCAAAAAAAGAAAAGAAAGAAAGAAAAAGACATTATTGGGTTCAGGTATTGTCAATTGGCTTACTTCAGTATGAAGTTCCCCCATTAGCTTTCTTGCCTAATTGTTTCATTAGCTATTGATAATCATTGTCTAGATTGGTGCCTCTCGGACTTTATGGTATGGTTTGGGTCTGGTTCCCCTCCCAAATCTCATGTTGGAAGAGGAGTGTGGTGGGAGGTGATCAGATTGGGGGGATTGGTGTTTTCATAGCAGTGAGTTCTCAGGAGATCTGGTTGTTTATAAAAGTGTGTAGTACTTCCCCCTTCTCTCTCTTTCTCCTTCTCCAGCCATGTAAGATGTACCTGCTTCCCCTTTGCCTTCCGCATGATTGCAAGTTTCCTGAGGCCTCCCCAGCCATGCTTCCTGTACAGCCTGTGGAACTGTGAGTCAATTAAACTTCTATTCTTTATAAATTACCCAATCTCAGGTAGTTCTTTATAGCAATGCAAGAATGGATTAATAAAATAGGTATCACCTGGGGGTCTTGTTAAAGTGTATGTTCTGATTCAGTAGGTCTGGAATGGTGCATGATACTTTGCATTTCTTTTTTTTCTTCAACAATGCAAAATAATATATTTTGCATTCCTTTTTTTTTTTAACAAATCTACTTCCATTTCAAAAGAATTTAATATAGAATAGTTGGTAATATACAACATGCTTTTATGTTTCTTTTATAGGTGTCTACGTAATACAAGTTCATTTGTATTTGTGCAATATATACTAATCCTATGTTAGATATGAGTCCTAACAGGATGGAAATATTTTCTTGCAATACTACTTTATGCCTATGAAGGGTGTGAACTTGCAATGTTCTCCTGTCGTAAGCCTAAGTTAATGACAGCGTCCTCTCAAAATTTTTCATAAATTATTGACCTAATTTCATTTTAAAAATGGATTCAGCAAATATGAAAATAGAAAGTCCTGTTATTTGTTCATTCATAATATGAGGGAAAAAAAGAGATGATACATTCCTCTATAGAAAAAGTGGGTTTAGAGAACAGTTCTGGTAGTATTTAACATGGTAAAGTATCAAAAAGTCTAATAAGCAGCCCCCTTGCTCAGGAATAAAAATGATTTCAATGTGTTTCTCTTTCAAATTGCTTAGTAACTCCAAGCGATGTTCAAACTATGGGGGCTGATTACTGGCACTGAGTTCATCAAATTTAGATCTCCCTTGAATAGGGACATTATAGAAATCAAGAGCATTTCTAACCCTGCACATCTGGTGGAGTCTGGAGTTAGGGACTACATGACCCAAGTCATCAGCTAAGTGTGCCAAGAGATTCAACTTCAGATGATGATCTTCCAGGGAGATGTCTTGCCAATCATCTCTAGGCAGAGATGAACCAAAAACTTCTTTAAGATAAGATTCCAAATGACTCTGGATCTTCAGGTGGTGTGTATGCTCAACTTCGTAAGGGTGGACACATTGGGATAGTTTCCTTTTTCACTTCTACTGTCTCAGCAACCACTGGGTCTTTTTCTTTTCTGGATCAAGACAAAATTCTCTATGTGGTGCCTGAGGCTATTCACATAAAGACTCTTCTGGGAATGCCGGATACAGATCGCACCAGCATCTTCAATGAGATCCATGAGCTTTTTTTTTTTTTTTTTTTTTTTTTTTTTTTAAGATAGAGTCTCACTCTGTTACCCAGGCTGGAGTGCAATGGCACAATCTCGGCTCACTACAACCTCTGCCTCCTGGGTTCAAGGCATTCTCCTGCCTCAGTCTCGAAAGTAGCTAAGACTACAGGCATGCACCACCACCATACCTAGCTAATTTTTGTATTTTTAGTAGAGATGGGGTTTCGTCATGTTGCCCAGGCTGGTCTCAAACTCCTGACTTTAAGTGATCTCCCAAAGTGCTGGAATTACAGGCATGAGCCACCACACCTGGCCAAAAATTTGCATTTCTAACAAGCAAGGGCCTAGATTATTTCATTAGAGCTTTCTATTCTTTCATCAATTATTTGGTTATTCTGAGGTATAGCTTGAATATACAAGAAAGACATGATATATGCTATTTGCTAGCTTTCAAAATAATAATCTTCCAAAGGTGATCAATGAATTTTTAAAAAATCAGTTATGTGCTCAGAAACTTAACTATAACTTATGTGTTTCAAGCCATTCAAGTTATTCTTTTTAAGGCTCAAATTGTCTCATATTTGGCTAGTGGGGCCCTGCTTTCTGGTTAGACAAGATGTTTCAGGCTCATCTTATACATTTCCTGCCTCAAATCTGGAATCAATCATTTCTCAACAGAGCCTGGGTTCCTATGATTGGAAAGTGATATTTAGAGACCACAGTATGTATTTAAGAGGTGCTCATTGCTATGAGATAGATATTTCCTAGCTCGATCCATTGAGAAATAACAAGAGGTTTCTAGTCCTTTTCAATGGATAGAGCTAGAAAATATCCTTTTATTTTTTAAGAGAAAATGCATGAAGAATTCTGATAGTTTCAGTTTACTCTGAGGGCTATAGGGCTTTAACTTAACTTCTTCTTCTTTTTTGTTTTCTTTTTTTAGACAGAGTCTTACTCTGTTGTCCAGGCTGGAGTGCAGTGGCATCATCTTGACTCACTACAAACTCTGTCTCCTTGGTTTAAGTGATTCTTGTGCCCTCAGCCTCCTGAGTAGCTGGGATTATAGTCCTGCACCACCATGCCTGGCCAATTTTTGTATTTGTAGTATAAATGGGTTTCACCATGTTGTCCAGGCTGGTCTCCAGCTCCTGACCTCAAGTAATTCCCCTGCCTCGGTCTTGCAACGTGCTGAGATTACAGGTGTGAGCCACTGAGCTTGGCCTAACTAAACTTCCTAGAGTTTTTTTCTCCTGAAACTCATGGCTTCTAAGGATATAGGTATATTTACTTTTGTTGTTGTTGAGATAGGGTTTTGCTCTCTCACCCAAGCTGGAGTGCAGTGACAATCATAGTTCACTGCAGCCTTTATGTTCTGGGCTCAAGTGACCTTCCTGCCTCAGCCTCCTGAGTAGCTCAGAATACAGGTGCATGCCACCACACCTGGCTTTTTTTTTTTTTTTTTGGTAGAGATGAGATCTTGCTGTGTTGCCCAAGTTAGTCTCAAACTCTTGAGCTCGAGCAATCCTCCTGCCTCACCCTCCCAAAGTGCTAGGATTACAAGCAGGAGCCATTGCACCCCCCCTCCATTATAGTTATTTATAGTAACATGATTATTGAAAGTTTATAATTTTCTTGGTATCTTTTTGTTCATAGGCCATATCCCTAAATAAGGACATACAGTCAAGTTACTGCGTTCTATTTATTATTATTATTATTTTTGAGACAGAGTCTTACTCCATTGCCCAGGCTAGAGTGCAATAGCATGACCTCAGCTCATTGCAATCTCTGCTTTCTGGGTTCAAGAGATTCTCTTGCCTCGGCCTCCCAAGTAGCTGGAATTACAGGTGTGCACAACCATGCCCAGCTAATTTCTGTATTTTTAGTAGAGACAGGGTTTCACCATCTTGGACAGGCTGGTCTCAAACTCCTGACCTCAGATGATCTGCCTACCTCAGCCTCCCAAAGTGCTGGAATTACAGGCATGAGCCACCATGCCCAGCAAGTTATTGTGTTCTTAATTTCACATCAGTTGAAATTATTCCTTTCTTGGCCGGAAGCGGTAGCTCACGCCTGTAATTCTAGCACTTTGGGAGGCCGAGGTGGGTGGATCACCTGAGGTCAGGAGTTCAAGATCAGCCTGGCCATCATGGTGAAACCCATCTTGAAAAAAAAAAAAAAAAGAAATTATTCCTTTCTCTGTGGCTAATCTATGAACTAAAAATAAAATTCAGTATATTTCTTTGATTTTAGGGATTCATTTTTTACATTTTTAATTTTGTTTCATATTTATGTGGAACATTTACATGATACCAAAATAAAATCTTCAAAACACAGTAATTCAGAGGAGTCTAGCTCCTACACCCATCCCTTCCATTCTGTCTCCTCCTCTTTATGAAGGTGAAAGGTGAACACTGGTTTCCCTTAGCGTTTATTGATTGATTGATTGAGACAGAATCTCACTCTGTTGCCTAGGCTGGAGTATAATCACAGCTCACTGCCTCTGCCTCCTGAGCTCAAATGCTGCTCCCACCTCACCTTCTCAAGTAGCTGGGACTGCAGGCATGTGGTACCACACCTGGCTAGTTTTGATTTTTTCTTTCTTTCTTTCTTTTTTTTTTTTTTTTTTTTGGTAAAGATGGGATCTCTCTATGTTGCCCTAGGCTAAAACTCCTGCCTCAGCCTCCCAAAATGTTGGGGTTACAGGCTTGAGGCCATTACAGGCATGAGGCCTTGCACCTGGCCTTTTTTTTCCCTTAAATTTTTTTTTTTTTTTAACTGTCCTTGAATTTGGCTGAAACATCTCCATTTTTTATTCTCCTGTTAGAAAATATAAGAAAATATGTGTGCATATATACATACACATTTATGTTCATATATTCCCCTTTTCTAAGGCCATATTCATTATTGTTTACCTCATTTTTTCTCTTAACAACATATTCTGGAGATTATAGCAGTTTACCTTTCTTTATACAGCTATATAGTACTCTATCATATGATATCATAGTTTATCCACTAAGCTCCCTCTTGATAGATATTTGGATCATGGTAGAGAGATCTGAGATAAAACAAATATGTTTGAAGGTCCTGTAGTTGGAAGGAGAGCCATGGTAGAAAACGAGGCTGCAGAGACAGGCATGGGGCAGTCTATACAAAGACTTGTGGCCCTTTAAGGGTCTTATCACTGCTCTACTAGGTATGGAAGGCTATGGAAGTGTATTGAGCAAGGCTGTGACATGATTAAATTTGCCTTTTGAAGAGATCACTTTTACTACAGTGCAGGATATGGATTACAAGAGAAAAGAGTGGGTATAAGAAGATAAACTAGAGGCTGGGTGCAGTGGCTCACACCTGTAATCCCAGCACTTTGGAGGCCAAGGCAGGTGGATCACGAAGTCAAGAGATCGAGATCATCCTGGCCAACATGGTGAAATCCCATCTCTACTAAAAATACAAAGACTAACTGAATGTGGTGGTGCACACCTGTAGTCCCAGCTACTTGAGAGGCTGAGGCAAGAGAATCACTCGAACCTGGGAGGCAGAGATTGCAGAGAGCTGAAATTGTGCCACTGAACTCCAGCCTGGCAACAGAGCAAGACTCTATCTCAAAAAAAAAAAAAAAAAAAAAAAAAAAAAGATGAAGATAAATTAGAAAACCATTGCAATAGCCCAGGTAAAAGATGGACAGTAGCTTGGATTAGGAGAGATGGTGAAATGGAGAGAAAGGAAAAGACAAAAGAGATTTAGAAAAGAAAGTTGGCTACTTGGCGATCCATTGGATCTGAAGATTAGAGAGAGAAAGGGTATCAAGGATGACTTCTAGGTTTCTGGATTTGGCACCTGGATTCGCGGTTTGCGTTTATGGAGACAGGAAAGCCTGGGAAGTGAGTAATATTAGGTGATGATTATGTGTTAAACTTTGAACATGTTAAAGTAGAAGTACCTTTGAGATATCTAAGTGTCAAGTTGTCAGTTTGATATATGCATCTGGAACTCAGAGAAGGGGTTGGGGCCAGGGCTCTGTGTTAATTCAGGCTAGTCCTTTGATCTTCAGAACTGATCTGAATCCCTAGGCCATTTCTGAAGATCAAAGGACTATTCTGAATCAGGGAGCAGACTGGATGTAGTTTATTCCCCCAAATATGGGAATTTTGGCTATGGGAATAGTCAAACAGACCTGGGGTATAGCCATTGGAAAAAAAAAGCTCCCACCCCCAAAAAATTTGTCATAATATATTTATAATATATGAACACTTTGCAGCTTACATATAATCTACAAAGTTCTTACCTTGCCCACTGCAATGTATTTTACAGCTAACGAAGTGATCTTATTTCTGTGGTCTCAGTTTAATGTTCTCAACAATGTTGTGAGGTAGCCTGGCCCCAGTTTTCTTTAGACCATCCCCTGGCCCAACTCAGCCCAGCCCAGGGGCTCCCCACACTCCCACATCCCCGGCTCTATCCCTGACAGTTCTCCTTGGCCCGGTGTCCCTCATCAGCCACACCGTGTTCAAGTTAGGGCATCTCCAGGATAATTTTCCCCACGTTCTGGTTGGCCTCCATGCGAGCGTGGGCCTTCTGAATCTCAGCCATAGTGAAGACTTTATCCACAACAGGCTGCAGCTGCACAGCACTACCGGGGGAGAAGTGGGCCAGGACTTGCTCTGTGAAGGTCTTCACCAATGTTTCCTTGTACTGAGGCAGAGAGAACAGCACATTAACAGGATAAGGATGAGGTCTCCTTGGCCTCATACAACTTCATGGGGAATATCAGGCCATGCCTGGTTGGCCCTAGTACTAGCCTTGACTCAAGGAGGTCAGACCAAACCATGGAGGAGGAAAGATCATTTATCAATCTAAATTCCCTTGGACAATGGAACCCCTGGAATATCAAGGGACCCTACCACCCCCGAATCTCCTAAAGTATGGGAGTCTCAATATGAATCCTGGACTTGGAAGAGAGGAGGAGTAAGTCCAAGTTATATTAGGAAGTAGGTGGTGGAAATGAGACTTCTGAGGGAGGAAGGGTCAGGCTAACCCTTAGGTTCCCATCCAGAGGAAGGAGAGTTGGCAACGTCAGCAAAGCTTCATGAGCAGGAATTCTATAAGCCAAGGCAGATCGGAGTCAGGTGATTATAACTCAAGGGCAGTGCCCAGAACCTGCTCAGCTTTGTCTGTCACCTACCTTCCGATCCCTGGACCTCAGCAGACTGGCCCGCAGACTTCCGCGCTTACACAACAGCTTGGAAAGCAGGGGTCCGTTGACTTCTGCTCCCCCCATGAGACCATACAGAACCCATCGGCCATCTGCAGCCAAACAGTGGAGGTTCTTCTCCCAGTAGGAGCCACCAATGCAGTCGAGGATCACATTGACACCCACACCTTGGATAGTAGGTAGAAATGGCTTAGATATCGTGGGAAGGCAGATGCCCAAACTCCTCCCCTCTGGATCTAGTTTTGCACATTATCCTGTGTGTCAGGAAACAAAGTGGGAAGAAAAAGCACTATCTGGGAGGGAAGGTGCACTTAGTCCTCCTAGAGAGCTGGGGGAGAAGTGCTAAGCATGCAGCTTTCAGACGACCTTAGGCTAAGGAGGTATGTCTCATCATAGTTCTAAACACAGACTAACCCAGCCTTGAGTACTTGCACTGGAGAGCATTGTTCTCTTCTGAAAAGTCAGTAGACTTCCTCCTTAATTACCTCCTTTTTTGGTAATTAAAGTTACGTAATCCCCTTGGGTACTGGACCCTCTGGAGCTTTGAGGAACTCCCCAAATCGTTTATTTATTTATTTATTTATTTTTTGAGATAGAGTCTCACTTTGTGGCCCAGGATGGAGTACAGTGGTGTGATCTCAGCTCATTGCAAGCTCTGCCTTCTGGGTTCAAGCAATTCTTATGCTTCAGCCTCCTGAGTAGCTGGGATTACAGGTGTGCGCCACTACATCTGGCTAATTTTTGTATTTTTAGTAGAGACAGGGTTTCACCTTGTTGGCCAGGCTGGTTTCAAGCTCTCAACCTCAGGTAATCCACCTACTTCAGCCTCCCAAAGTGCTGGGATTACTGGTGTGAGCTACTGTGCCCAGCCACCCAAATCTTTTTTTTTCAATCCATCCCCACCATGGTTGAGATCCCTCAAATGTTTACAAATATGGGAATCCCAATCATTCTTCTTTTTCTCTTCCTCCTCCTCATTTTCCTTCTTCTTCTTCCCTTCTCCTTCTCTCCTCCTGTTCGTCCCTTTTCTTCTTTCTCCTCCATCTCCTCTTTCTTTTCCTCTTCTTTCTTCTTCCTCTCCTTCCCCTTTTTCTCTCTTCCTCCTCCTCCTTCACTGGGCAGCCAGGAAGCTCAGACTCTTGCATAATACTTGCTCACAGTTATTGTTCTAATCTTTATGATTAACATGTTTTTTTCTGCTTTCCTTGGTACATATTTTCTAGTTCTAATTAATTTTTTTTCCATCCTGAGTGGTTAGACCATCTTCAGGCTTTGTGAAAATACAGTAGAGAGTGAGGATTGCGATAGAGAAAGAAGAGAGGGTTGCGAGTCCAGAGGAGGAAAAGGGAGATGTGGCAGGCAGCCTCCAGGATGGTCCCCTGATGACCCCTCCCTTCTAGTATTTACACCTTCCAGTCCCTTCCTTTGAGCATGGATTGGATTTACAGACTTTCTTCTAACAAGAAGGACATGACAGAAGTGATGGGATGTCAATTCCAAGACTAGGTCACCAAAAGGTGGTGGCTTCCCTATGGGACATGGGACACTTTCATTCTTGCTTGCTCTCTCTGAAGGAAGCAACTGGCCATGTTTCACACTACCCTATGGAGAGGCTCATATATCAAAGAACTGATGTCTCTGGCTAATAGCTGCCAAGAACCTGAAGCCTATGAAAGCCATGAGACTGAACTTGCAGGCCAATTGCACCCCAGGTGAGCCTGGCGATGACCACAGCCCTGGCTGACGCCTTGGGAGAGACCTGGAGCTGAAGGACCCAGCTAAATTGCTCCCAGATTCCTGAACCACAGAAATGGGGAGATAATAATATGCATTGTTTTAAGCCACTAAGTTTTGGGTAATTTGTTATGCAGCAATAGATAGCTACTAATAAAGGAGAGGAAGGAGGAGGTAAGGTTATGAAAGGGGAGGGGACAGGATAAGAGAAGAGGGGTTAAGCCAGGGATCAGCTAGCTGATCTCCTTCAAACACACAGGCCAGTGCACATGCACACACACACCCTCCAAACACACAGGCACCCCTCCCCCCGACACACACACCAAACACACAGGCACATACACACACACCCTTCAAACACACAAGCATGAGTACACACAAACACACACACACACACACACACACTACTAACACACAGGCCTGCCCACACACACCCTCTAAACACACAGGCCTGCACACGCACACACACACCCTCCAAACAAATAGGCCCCCCCAATACACACACTTCAAACACACAGGCCTGCACATACACACACACCCTCCAAACACACAGGCCAGTGCACATGCACATACACACACCCTCCAAATACACAGGCCTACACACACACACACACACACACACACACCAAACACACAGGCACATACACACACACCCTCCAAACACACAGGCCTGCAGAGACGCGCACACACACACACACACACACCCTCCAAACACACAGGCACACACATGCACACACACATACTCCAAACACACACCCCCCACACACCCTCCAAACACACAGTCTGCACACACATACACTCTCTCTCTCTCTCTCTCTCTACACACACACACACACACACACACACATGCACACCCACCCTGTGTGGCCTTCAGAGCCCCCTCAGAGAAGTCCTCCTTCTTATAATCGAACCCAGCTGCAGCACCCAGCCCTTCTGCCAGTTGGATGTTCTCCTTGGAGCTCGTGGTCACCAGGGGGATGGCGTTGAACAGCCTGGTCAGCTGGATGGCAGCGGTACCCACACCTCCTGTGCCGGCGTGAATAAGCACGGTCTCTGCCTCTCGAACTCCTCCTGTGGCAACAATACCAGAGCATCCTGAGCTAGTGAGGGCGTGGGGGTGGGAGAGTGTAGGATTGGTTTGGAAACATAAACCCTCTGTGCCCTGAGGGTGTGAGGAGAGACCAGGCTGAAGGTCATGGGCCCTGGGTCACAAAGAGCACTAAGCACAAGGAGCCATCAGAGGTTTTACAGCAGCGGGGGCCTGGACCAGGGCTGGGCTTGAGCAGGATTAATCCAGTGAAGGATTAATCCCTGAAGGCGGCTCCTGAGCCAGGCTTAGAACTGTCTAGAGCTCCTGGGAGAGGGAGGTCCCCAGGCCACATGTCTGGGCTACTCTGATCCCTTTTTGTGTGAGAAATGAACCACTGCCTGAGGGACCTGGGCAGACAGACTTAAGGACAGTTTCTTCTCCTCTGGAAATAGGGACAGGCAGCTGGAACTGCTCTGAGAACCTTGCTTTTGCCTCATATTGGTCATAAAAACTGCCCATGGGCTGTATGTGGTGGTTCACACCTGTAATCCCAGCACTTTGGGAGCCAAGGAGAAAGGATTGCTTGAGACCAGGAGTTCAAGACCAGCCTGGGCAATATAGTAAGACCCTCATCTCTACAAAATTAAAAAAATTGGCTGAGCATGGTAGTCTATGTCTGCAGTCCCAGCTACTTGGGAGGCTGAAGTGGGAGGATCACTTGAACACAGGAGGTCAAGGCTACAGAGAGCCACGATCAAGCGACTGCACTCCAGCCTGGGCCATGGAGTGAAACCGTGTCTCAAAAACAAAATGAAACAAACCAAAAAACTGCCTGTAGTTGTCTCCATGGGGTACATGTCTGGGCTGGCTCTGGGATTAGAGGCTAGGGCGTGTCAGGGTGTGGGTGAAGGGCTTACATTTTCAGGGCCAGCAGATGCCTGGGTTGGGGTCAGCAGTTGGCCTCAGGTGACAGGGTAGGGCTAGTGGGAGGGGATCTCTATGGGGTAGGGATCCTTCTCACCCACACAATGCAGCAGCTGGAAGGCGGTGAGCCAGGCCTCTGGGATGGCTGCAGCCTGGGGCAGGGTCAGTCCCTCTGGGATAGGCATGAGGAGCCCCTCGGGGACAGTGACGTACTGAGCCTGGCCCCCACCAGGCAGCAGAGCCATGGCTGCATCCCCGATCTTCCAGTGTCCCTGGCAGCCAGGCCCCAACTCTGCCACGTGTCCAGATGCCTCGAGTCCCAAAATGTTGCTGGCTCCTGGGGGCGGGGAATACTGGCCTTGTCTCTGCAAAGGGAGGGCAGCACAGTAAGTGGGTCTGATAAGGGGAGTTAAATGTCAGTCCTCTTTGTTGCTGGAGAGAGAAGGTGGATTTTTGGCTTAGAATCTACTTTCGGTTTTCTAGGGTGGGAGAAAATTCAGATAGTCTCCAAATAAGAGTCATTCCAGAAACAGCTTCATCCCAGAGACAGCCTGAGAGGTCTTCCCTGTCTCTACCTCAGCCTGGCAGACAGTATTGTGAGTCAGGGGGCTGAGGGAGCTGGGAGAAGGCGTGGAATGCAGCTTGCTAAGGTCTGTGACCCTGAGAGGATGGCCAGGGGACATCCTGCCATCTCAGCCCTTGTTTCTCCTGCTCTGAACTCAGCTTCCACAAGAAGGTGAGCGATTATGCCATCTTTACCAGCTAGAAACTGGATCTGCAGAGGGGATGTCATGCAAACTGGTTCTCTGAGTCTCCAGCCTGGAGGAAGGGGAGGCAGGAAGGGTGCTGGCTTGGCTCTGGGGCACAGGGACTGAGATCATGGCTTGCAAGGGGTTGCATTCATTGCTGCCTGACACAACTTGGGAGTTGGATCAGAATAGGCTCCAAACAAAGGGGCCTGGGACCCTCAGTTCTCAAACTTCCTATGTATACACGAATCCCCTCCTTCCCGAGAGGCAGCTCTCTGGACTTTGGAGCCAAATGATCTGGATTCAAATTCTGTCTCTGCCATTTATTCAGTCATATAACACATGCTACACATGCTTACTATGTGTCAGGCCCTGTACTAGGCAAAGTAGATTACTCTGTTCTGGTGGAACTTATAGTCTAGTGGGGGAAGACAGACTTTAAAGAAGTATACACACACACACACACGCGCACACACACACACACACACACACGCAAACGAGCCAGATCTGTGGAAACTAGCGGTCTGCCATTAGAGAAGCCAGACATACAAAGAATGGTTGAAGAGCATCTCAGGGAGAGAGAAAGGTAAGCTCAGAGCAGGAAGGAGCATGGAGTGCAGTGGGAGGGTGCTGGGCAAGGGACAAGGACTTCTGCTTAGGGGGATGAGATGTCAGTGGCCTGACCAGCAGGGCCCCACAGTGGGTGAGGAGTTTCCATTTTGTCCTAAGTGTGTGGCCATCTCTCTGTGGGTTGCTCCGGCTGCCAAGTGGAGAGGGGGCTGGAGGAGGTGCTGCCAGTGCCCGGGTAAAGTGGAACTGGCGTGGCCCTGGATAGAGCAGCAGGGAGAAGGGGGCTGACTGGACATCTGCTGATGAGGGAGGCTCAGAGGCCCAGGCTGATGAAGCAGATGAGGAGCAGAGAGACAGGGCATCAACCCCAAGCTTCTGGCTTACGTAGTTTCCTGGGCATCGTTCTCACTTTCCTCATTACTGAAATGGAGACACAAGGCCCCATCTCCTTGGGTGCTTGTGAGGCTTAAATTAAAATATCCACTGAGCAGGTGCCTGGCACAGAGTGAGCACTCAACGAACCTCAGCTCTTCTCCTGGCTAATGTCTGCGCGGACTCTCCCGGCCTGGCCCAGCTGTGGGGCTAGGTAAGGCAGTGTCCCTGGCTGGCTCTGAGGGCACAATGGTGGGTGCTGCAGTCCTGCTCCTGAATCTGACACAGATGCCAAGAACCTAAGCCACCCATCTAGCCATGCTGGGCCCAGCTCCCTTCAAAACTGGCTAATGGTCAGGTCCTGACCCAAGCAGCTCTGATCCAGGAGCAGGCGCTGGTCTCCAGTGCCCCACCCCATGGTAATTGGGTACCTGCAGTAAGTCTGCCCGGTTCAGGGCACTGGCTGCCACCTTTAGGAGGACTTCACCTTCCCCTGGGCTTGGCTTGGCTACCTCCTTCACGTAGAGGTTTTCCGGTCCTCCTGGCTTGTCAAAATGCACGGCCAACATTTTATCTGAGGACACAGGAGTGGAGGGATGGAAGAAAGGCATGGAAACTGGGACAGATTTGAAAGGAACCCCCTTCCCCAAATTAGGATCTCCAGAGATTGCCTGTCTCCACCTCTCATCTCTGACTGCTGCCCCTCACCGTCACTGCCTGTCTGGCTTCCCTAACTACATCCCTAGCCACTGCTGCTTCCTGCATCTTCTCTGGCTGTGAAGAGGGATTCATGCAGCGGCTGTGGAATGAAAGAAATTGAGATTCAAGTCTTGGGCAAGAATGGGACTAAGATATTATTACATAACGCACTGTCCCGGGCCCAGGCAGAGCAGGGCTCTGCAGACAGTCCCTCTCCCGGGGAGTTAGCCTGCCTTTCTGGGGCTGGTGGCCCTGAGAGCACAGCCCAGGAGGAGGGGAGCCTCACCTGGAGCCATCTTGCTGGGGTCTCCCTCCTTCCGTCAGCACTGGGTTGCCTGTGCCTCCTGCCTCAGTGTGGCTGCTGCTGCAGGCCCAGCTCAGGGAGGGACTATTTATGTTCTGGGCAGAGGGATCGGCAGGCCCATTGCCTGGCATGTGGGTGTGCCCTGTTTGTTCATTTTAGAAATGTAATTATCAAAATGATCTCATCATGTTACACAAGTTTGATCCTCAGGGGACACAACCTGCCCTGCACCCCTCAACCTAAGGCTGTGGTGGCTGCACTCCTCCCTGTACCCCTCAACCTGAGGCTGTGGTGGCCCAAGTTCCTCCTGGCATCCCTCAGGCTGAGGCTGTGGTGGCTGGTCCCTCCCTGCACGGGTTGTGACAGGCTGTCTTCCTGACTTGGGTATCTCTAGATGCTGCTTCTGTCCCAGGGCAGGAGGGTGGCTGAGTGCTGCTTTCCCTTAGGGGCAGATAACTCATATTTGGGGTGAAGGGCTGTATCTAGCTCTGTGCCAGCTGTGTGGTGGGCAGAGAAGGTGCAGTGCAGCTGTTAAAGGAGGGTGAAGAAATAAAGGGATAGGTGCTCAAGGGACCCCTGAAGGCTGTGGGTGTTTGAGAGGGGAAGGTGCCTCAGGCTGGGGAAAGGTGCTTGGATGATGTGGTGCCTACCTGAGCCTCACAACATCCCCAAAGAGTCAGGCAGGTGATGAGCTCCATTTTCAGGTGGGAAAACAGAGAGGTAAGGGCCTCATCTAGGATCACAGAGCTCATCCACAGAAAAGCAGCCGCCAGAACCCAGGACTCCTGGGTTAGAGTCTGCAGGAGAGGCTGCCTCATCACCCCCTCCCACCTGAATGCTGAAAAGGCCAAGTGGAGAGAAGGAAGAGCACCTCGGAAGTGGCTGCCCCTCACAGCAGATGGGGAAAGGAGGGATTTCTATATGTGGTATGGAGCTTAGGAGGTTTCCCTGGGTGCTGCAAAGATCATCTCCGAGTGCCTGATCCCCCAAAAGGGGCAGCAATAGGTCTGTTGGAAACCCCACAAAAAAGTTTGCTTTTCTTGAAACAAAGCATCACCTCTGCTCTAACCCCCTTTCTGTCAAGATCCAAATTTTTGGGTTGGGTGGTAATTTGCAGTGTCTGTTTCCACAGTCCCCCAGCTTTGAGTCTTCCCAAAGGATTATGTTTTAGCAGAACAAACAATATCTGTGTTAAGCATGGGTGGAGGTCTGTGTCCAGAAACCCAGCTGGTCCTAGGGTACAGTTGCTGCTGTTCATCTTGGTAGTTAAATGGGTTTGGGGGGATAATCTCTTGTCCAGTGGGCTCTCAGCTCCTCCAAAGGGTTCTGTGAAGTTCTGCTGAGTCACCTTGAGGCAGCAGCTTCTCTAATTCTAAGCCCAAGCTTGGAGGTGACTCATGGTCTGGAGCAGGATAAAGGTTGATACTTTTCCCACTGAAGGAACTGGAGCAGTTCAGCTCTGGGTACGGTGCCAGCTTCTGTGCCTGCAGGACTTTTTCTGGGTTCCTCCTCCCCTCCCTCTGTGGACACTCCACCCTGAGGCTGGTGGGCAAATCCTGGGAGTAAAGATTTAGGAAGGCTCTGGGAGAGAGAAGGGCTTGGAATCTGCCCAACAGGACCCCTATTCACCCCTGGTGTCTTCTGGGGCTGTCTGCTTGGCTACCTGCCTCTGCCATCTTCCTGGCCACCACCCACCATGGCTCAGGGCCCAAGGCATTTCTCCTTACTCCAGGTGGTAGTCTGCACATTTTTAAATTCTGAAATAGGCAAAAAGCATGTTCCAAAACTATGTGTTCCCTCTCACTTTTCATTTCTTTTAATTTTACTTTGAGGATACATGTGTTGAACATCCAGGTTTGTTAATAGGTATACATGTGCCATGGTGGTTTGCTACACCTATTAGCCCGTCATCTAGGTTTTAAGCCCCTCATACATTAAGTATTTGTCCTAATGCTCTCTCTCTCCTTGCCCCCATCCCCCAAAAGGCCCTGATGTGTGATGTTCTCCTCCCTGTGTCCATGTGTTCTCATTGTTCAACTCCCACTTATAAGTGAGAACATTTTGTGTTTGGTTTTCAGTTCCTCTGTTAGTTTGCTGAGGATGATGGTTTCCAGCTTCATCCATATCCCCGAAAAGGACATGAACTGATTCTTTTTTATGGCTACATAATATTCCATGGTGCATATGTATCACATTTTCTTTATCCAGTCTATCATTGATACGCATTTTGGTTGGTTCCGAGTCTTTCCTATTATAAATAGTGCTGCAATAAACATAGGTATGCATGTGTCTCTTTTTTTTTTGAGACAGAGTCTTGCTGTGTCACCCAGGCTGGAGTGCAGTGGTACAATCTCGGCTCACTGCAACCTCTGCCTCCAGAGTTCAAGCAATTCTCCTGCTTCAGCTTCCCAAGTAGCTGGGACTACAGATGCCCGCCACCACACCTGGCTAAGTTTTTTTTGTATTTTTAGTAGAGGTTTCACTATATTGGCCAGGCTGGTCAATATAGAGGTTTCACTATATTGGTCAGGCTTGAACTCCTGACCTCATGATCCGCCTGCCTCAGCCTCCCAAAGTGCTGGGATTACAGTGTGAGCCATCATGCCTGGCTGCATGTGTCTTTATAGTAGAATGATTGATAAACCTTTGGGTATATACGCAGCAATGGGATTGCTGGGTCAAATGGTATTTCTGGTTCTAGATCCTTGAGGAATCGCCACATTTTTTTTTTTTTAAAGACAAGGTCTTGCTCTGTCACCAGGGCTGGAGTGCACTGGCACCATCATAGCTTATTGCAGCCTTGACCTCTTGGATTCAAGTGATCCTCCTGCCTCAGGCTCCTGAATAAGTGGGCCTTGGCCTCTCAAGTAGTCTCATGTGCCTCAGACTGCAGGCACATGCCACCACACCTGGCTACTTTTTAAAGTTTTGGTAGAGACAAGGTCTTGTCATGTTGCTCAGGCTGGTCTTCAACTCCTGGGCTTAAGTGATCTTCCTGCCTCACTTACCAAAGTGCTGGAATTACAGGTGTGAGCCACTATGCCTAGCCTCCTCTCACATTTTTAAGTTGATCTCTAAAATTTTTCATCTGAAATATAAATAGTTCAAAAGATAAGTATTTCTTATTTCTTTTAATACTAACATTTTAAACTCTTACAACAGGCTTTCCTCCCTCCGCCCCGCAAGAGACAGAGTCTCATTCTCTTGCCCAGGCTGGAGTACAATGGTGTGATCATAACTCACTGTAACCTCAAACTCCTGAGCTCAAGGAATCCTCTCACCTCAGCCATCCTAGAAGCTAGGACTACAGGCACATGACACCATGCCTGGCTAAATTTTCTATTTTTCGTAGAGACAGTCTTACTATGTTGCCTCAGCTGGTCTTGAACTCTTGGCCTCAAGGGATCCTCCTGCCTTGGCCTCTCAAAGAGCTGGGTTTATAGGCATGAGCCACTTTGCCCAGCCTGCATCAGGCTTTTAAATATATCAATTGGGCTGGGTGTGGTGGCTCACGCATGTAATGCCAGCACTTTGGGAGGCAGAGGTACACAGATCACTTGAGGTCAGGAGTTGGAGACCATCCCAACCAACACGGTGAAACCCGTCTCTAGTAAAAATACACACACAAAAAATAGCTTGACATGGTGGCTCATACCTGTTGTCCCAGCTACTTTCAAAGGTGAGGCAGGAGAATCACTTGAACCTGGGAGGCAAAGGTTGCAGTGAGCCGAGATCACAACACGGCACTCCAGCATGATATTAGAGCAATTTGATATTAATATAATCATCCACTAAACAAGACCTAAACTCTTCTTTAACAGTTAAAAGTTTTACAACCTTATTTTTCTTCTACTACTCATGTTTTCATTCCATTTTTTTCATTGAATCATATTCTGCTACATTTTATGTTTTACTGATCATTCTTATCTGCAACCAAAATATGTATATAAATTGATATTAATTAAAAAGTTATTTTCTGTGACCACAGGGCTACTATACAGTGTTAAATTTTGTTTGGATTTATTATTATTACAATATTATTAGTCCACAATTGAGCAAAACAATATGTATTACTTTAATAATTATGAAATATAAAATGTAAAATTTTTTTGGAAAGACATTTTTAATGACACTTGGTAGGGTTGAATTTTTCCCAATAGTTATTATATATGTGGATGAATATTACTTATTGCTAGAATCGGACTGAGTTTGAAATTAGTTCTCTTCCCATTTTTTATTTTTATAGACAAGCTCTGAGAAATTTAGTTTGCATAAATTAGGTGGGAAAGAAATTTCATTGTAGGAATGCTAGCCGATTCTTTGAATACATCTGAATTACGTAGTAAAAACCATATAATGATTTGTCATCAAAAGTTATTTTCAATGCTCTGTTAGCTGACAACTTAATTAGATCTTGCTTCAGTTTTACTGAAAGTAAATACTTGGAAATCATCCAATCTGTTATTCAGTCACAAATGTCATCCAAGTTCTCAGTTTCTGGAATTATACCAACAAAGCTTTCTGAAGACATATCAAATGTTTATTAATTACATCTGCTATTTTTTCACTTAGAGGTACCTTGTTTACATTGATATACTCAGGAAAGATTCAGGAAGTAAAAATGTTAATTTCAATACATTTTTGCTAAATTTTTGGGATGAAATCCTTTTAGCTTATCACATGCTTTAAATGTAGTTTCAGGCCAGTTATGGTGGCTCACACCTATAATCCCAGGAGTTTAAGACCAGCCTGACCAAAATGGCAAAACATTGTCTCTACTAGAAGTACAAAAATTAGGAGGTGGGCATGGTGGCTCACTCCTGTAATCCCAGCACTTTGGGAGGCTGAGGCAGGTGGATCACGAGGTCAGGGGTTCGAGACCAGCCTGACCAACATGGTGAAACCCCATCTCTACTTAAAAATACAAAAATTAGCCAGGTGTGGTGGTGCACACCTGTAATCTCAGCTACCTGGGAGGCTGAGGCAGGAGAACTGCTTGAACCCGGGAGGCAGAGGTTGTGCTGAGCCGAGAGCATGCCATTGCACTCCAGCCTGGGACCAGCCTGGG